CAATAGCAATATAGGTCAGAAGAAAGAAAATGAATGAATAAATAAATAATAAGAAAACCATAGAAAAAAATAATAAACTCAATAGACAATTATATATGTCAAATAAAAAATAGGACAAAATAAGTGATCAGACAGGTATTAAAGTGCATAGATATTCATACATACATTGGACTTTTTTAATATAACAGCCTTTCACATATTTTTTATACAATATTATTTCATTTAAACAGGCATCAAATATAGATGTTGTCTTTTAGGAAATAACATTTATGTATAAAGTATTTCACTAAAAGTATTACACCAGCATAAACATGTTGAGGGTAAACTATGATTCTCACTCTGTCTATAATAAATACTGACAGGCTAAGGGAACAACCCTGGCTTTAATAACCCAGTGGTATGTTACTACAGAAATATAGGAATTATCTTACCAAATTATTCAACATAATGAGAAACAACAACACAAACACATCAGCTCAAACTCTGTATTAACTGATGTAGAATTCCACACATCAAATACAGAAACCCAGACAGAGGTGGGTCACTATGTTCGTCACCATGTTTCTTCTAGTGTGATTATCCAGAGGTCAACAGATTATCTCCCTCCAGATTATAATTCATCCAAAATTAACAAGAATGATTATTGAACCTTTTAGGTACTGATTTGAAACATCTTATATATTAACTGTACATGACATCATTGTCTACACAGATTATTATATGGGAAGTTGGATGGAGAATCACAAATTCAATAAATCGAATGCACCTTAATATCAACTAAACAGAAATTGCATCTTATCAATTCAATCTTATAGTTTCACACATTTACAGACACACTGACACTTAAACTGTTAAAGCTGTATTTTCCCTCTGAACTTGGTTTCATCATGTTTCAGGCCTGTTGAAGCTCATCAGAACTGACACCAGCCTAAGTCTTCAGTCCTGAACAGACCTGATGGTAGTACTGGTTTTGTGAGGGACCTTTAAAAGTCTGTCTCTTTTCAAACTAAATGTAGTCATCCCTGCAGCTGTTTGTATCTATTGAGAAGCTGTGCTGTGAGAATTAAAGTAGATACGGTAACCCTTTAATTTACAGGCCATTAATTATGTAGTAATTGCATAGTAATTATGTAGTAATGTGAAGAAATTACCAAGAAATAATAGTCAAGTAGGCTGTTAAAAATGTAGCAATTTTGTGGTAATGGGAAGACATTGCCAAGAAATTACAGTCAAGTAAAGTCAGAATAATTCCAAGTTGTAGTCATATATACTTGGAATTACTGTAAGAATGTTGTAATTATGGAGTAAAATTGAAGCAGAATAAAGAGGCTGGGTTGTTCATTATATGGGAATTGTTATAGTAAGTAGTATAGCCCACATACACAGTAAGACAGGAGGGTCGTTTCTGTATCAGCTATCATTAATATCCCATTGTGAAGACGCATTTCTTCACAATGGTCTTCACCTCGGTCTTATTTATCTCGACCAGGCAGAAAGTGTTTGAGGATGTGCTGCGTTTCCTGATTACTGATGACATCATCAACCAGGTGGTCTTTGACCTGGAAGACAGCAGGTATAGCAAAGAACACAGCACATTTATTAAGCTATCTATTTTAAAAGATGAGTTTTAATTTGAAATGATTTTTTTATGAATATTATTGTGAAAATATCAGTCTCTGTCTCTGTCAGTCTTCAGAATCCGTCTGAGTCCCTGAGGTTTTTCTCTAACTTTGAATGTGGGAACCTAAGGAAGGCTGTTCAGGTCCGCAGGTAAGGACACACAAGCACACATATTACAGATAATAATATTACATCTTATAGCTTACACATGGTCCTGACTAAAAAAATTAAATCAGTAAAACACAGGTAGCACAGAATAAAGCAGCACACATTGTTCTTCACTGCCCATATCCAACAATGACTCTGTGTGTAAAAAGCAGGTTGAATTATTCTCTATTGGGTTTTATCAGAAATATTATCATAACTAAAACTGCACAAATACTACTTAGTTACTTATCATTTTTTACAGATGGACATCAGAGGGTTATTTTCTGTTGCCACCATGTAAAACAACTTTAATACAGAGAACAGTTTATTATTGAGTAATGGTGGCAGAAAATAGTAAAACATGTTTTAAAAAGTTAAGGTTGTTGTTCTCTCCTCCTCTCTCCTCTCCTCCCGTATAGATATGAATATGACCTTATACTGAATGCGGATGCTAACTGTTCGCAGCACGCTCAGTGGTTTTACTTTGAAGTCAGTAACATGGTGGCAGACGTCCCGTATCGGTTTAATGTCATCAACTGTGAGAAGAGCAACAGCCAGTTCAACTACGGTGAGTGAGTGAGTGAGTGAGTGAGTGAGTGCAAGCTTGGGTGAATGACAAACTGTAGAGAACTTTGGTTTAAAAGCACTAGAAAAATGCAAACAAACAAACTTCAATAAATTGACTCATTACAGATTATTTACAAGTTTATACTAGAAATTGTTTATTGAATTTAAGTTAAGACATTTAAGTTGCTGTGTAACATAACAGAAGCATCTAAGATAGTCAAGCCTCTCATGATGATTTATAAATATGTACAGTTTGTTGAACTGGAAGCTGAGGAGATCATACCACTGTCAAGTAAGAAACTTAACAATTTAGTTTTGATCACTTCAGTTAACTTGCTGTTGTGTTGCAAGCTATTGTATAAATACTTCAGTATATGGCTTTGCCCCATGCTTATTATTTGTCCTCTATAAAGTGAATATAAATACATACAGTAAATTCCCTTAGACACAGTCACACCCAGCCAAACACAGTCAAAGACCAGAGTGAACACACAATGCTGCAGTATCATCAGACATTTCCACCAGTTTACTGCCATGACACCATGTCTGTTCCCTGTGGCCTGACTGTCTATCTGTGTGTGTGTGTGTGTGTGTGTGTGTGTGTGTGTGTGTGTGTGTGTGTGTGTGTACTGCAGGAATGCAGCCGGTGCTGTACTCGGTAAAAGATGCTTTGGAAGGTAGACCACACTGGGTCAGGACCGGAACTGAGATTTGTTATTTCAGGTATGAATGAATTGCTGGTGGAGAATAAGACTAGTATGAATTAACTGAATCATATATCATACAGTATAATGATATATGACCTAGTAATGATATATGACCTAGTATAATACTGATTCACCTACAGAAACCCAAACCTCAGCAAAAGACAGTTCAATGACACAGCTAATAAAGGCTCTGACACAGTTTGAATGACTTGTGATGTGTGAGAGCAGTGAGAGCTCAGAGACCTTAAACACAGGTACGGATCTTCTATTTACACATGACAGAACCTGTTGTTTCTTATTCTCTGTTGTCTCCTCTAGAAACCACTTCTGTCCAGCTCGAGGCAGAAGGAGAACCACCTTTTATACTCTGACCTTTACTGTCACCTTCAGACACAATGAGGACGTCTGCTACCTCGCATACCATTATCCCTACACATACTCTGCTCTGAAGGTATCACCTGTCCATCTGTTATTCAGGTGCAAAGCCCTCTAGTTTTTACACTTATTCAGTTTAGTAAAGCACACAAACACATATCTATGTTTTTAACTTGTGAATTACATAAACAGAAGAAAACAAGGCTCCTGTTTCTCTCCTGTTTACTGTCCTTTTTGCTCCACTATAACAATAATAATAATAATCTTGATTCATAGAGCACTTTTCAAAAACTTCATTACAACGTACTTTATAACAGCAGAAATATCGAGTCAATAAAATCAATGCATTTCAAAACAAAGAGGACAGATAGAACAATTAAAACAATCAAGAGCATAAAAAACAGTACTGAGTCATTTTGAGAGAAATAAACACTTCAAGGGAAGGTAAAACCAGGAAAAGTACGTTTTAAGAAGGGACTTCAACAAGATTTCCTCGGGCAAGTCGTTCCAGATCCTTGAGGCCATAACTGCGAATGCTCTGTCCCCTTTCATTTTCAGCCGGGCCTCTGGAACAGACAGAAGACCTTTGCCTGAAGATCTTAAAGTGTGTACTGATATGTGGCAAACTAAGAGGTCAGAAATGTAACCAGGCCATGGAGAGCTTTAAAAAACAATCAATAAAAATGTCTTTAAAAGTTAAAAAAAGATGGTATTTTAGAAATATTTGTAAGATGATAAAAACATGATTGTACAAGTTTTGTGGTGTCCACCTCAAAACTTAGATTACTATCAAACCAGATGCAAAGATTTTTGCAAAAGGCTTGATTTGGTCTGACAGGTACCAAGCAGATGACAGGATTTGTTTTATCATTGGCTGGTACCCAATAACCAGGATCCGAGTTTTGTTCTAGTTCAACTGAGAAAACTATCTGACTTTCAGGTTTTATTCTCACACTGGTCAGTGGGTCTAACTGGCAACTACAGTTGCACAGTGACCTTTAAGATTTTAAATAACTTACCTTGTGATGTTCATTACTTGAAAACAAAATCCTTTTGGATGAAGTGGTCGATGGTGGGGTTGTGCAGCTGACCATTTGCTTTTAAGTTCGTTAACAATTCCTTCTCGTGTTTCTCAAGACGGCTTTTATGCACTTCAGCACAGAGAATGACCTCTCCACAGAGGCAGTGGAAACAGGAATTGTCAGGACAAGACAGGTGAGGGTGTTCACTTGTGCCACGCTTTCTTTCAGTTCTTTTTGAGGAGGAACTGGTGAATGTCGGCTGGGCCTTTACCTGCAAAGTCAGACATGACATACATGACAGTGAGTTTCGTGTAAGGTTGGGGCTGGTCAAAATGCACACCATAGCTCTCCATTAAACTGGAAAAGGTAGCAAAAAAAAAAGGAGATCTTGCTGTGCCATGACAAGATTTTGTGTGTGAGCTTAGGATAGGACAAAGAAAGCCTGTGTTAAAGTTTTCTTCACTTTTGCTTGTACCCCATTCAAACCAGATGCCATAACGGCTGCTCCATCAAAGCACTGAGTGACCACTTTGTCACCACAGTCACAACCCCACAAGAACTTGCAGCAGCCGCAAAGCTATGGCATCTGCTCATCTGTCCATCACATCATCATACTTGTAAAATGCTCTTTCAATTCAGAGCAAACTGCTGCCTTCATTCCACTCTGCTCTGTTTTGCCAGCAGCAGCTTTCCAGTTGCTCTGAGCCCTGGTCAGTCTGCAGCCCCACCTCACTCTGCTCTTCCTCTTCAGTCGCTGGTGTCCCTAAGCTCTTAGCTCTGGCCAGCCAACAATCTCAGAGTATATTTTTTTTTAATTATTTTTTTGGGGGGCTTTTTTATGCCTTTATTTGATAGTACAGTAGAGAGACAGGAAATGGGGAGGCAGTTAACTTAACTGTTGTCTTTGTTTACCTGGATGATATCCTCAGCTTCTCCCACAATACCACTGATCACATCCTCCAATGGTCCTGGAGAACAAGTTATTTGTAAAAGCCTAAAAATTTGTCTTTCATGCTAATTCTGTGAGGTTTTTGGGTTACGTCTTTGAAAATGAAACTGACCCTGAGAAGATCTAGGCGTTGATAGATTGGCCCATACCAACTACCCTAAGACAGTTGCAATTTGCCAACCTCCTACCTCTGCTTGTTCAAGAACTACAGTCAAATAACTTCCACATCTGTGTGTCAGGGTCCGCTTTGCATGACGTAAATGTCGTCATCCAACAATGTACAAAAGGATTCCCACAGATCCCTATGCAGATGTCTTTATGCAGCCCAAAAAACGTGTGTGCAGACTGTTCGCATAGCAAGTGTGCTGACTACGCATGCTCCAGATAACTAAATGGATTCTTGTTTTAAAGAGAGGTTGTGCAAGGAGATCCTGCATATCCACAGTTATATAATTCTTTGTTGAAACTATACAAAGGTAGTAGAGTGTAGATTAGGAGATGTGCAGACAAATGAATACAGATGGCAGTGATTGTAGGAGATGAGTTAGCTAGAGGCCATAGGCCTTGGTGAACAGGTGGGTTTTCAACAGTTTTTTGAAAATGTCCAGAGATGAGGCTGTGCGGATCTCTTCCATTCCAGAGGGTGGGGGTTGCCACACTGAATGCTCTGTCACCGAAAGATTGCAGGCTGGTGTAGGGGTTGGAGAGTAGACCAGTGTCTGAGGACCGTAGGTTCCGGGATGGGTTATAGGGGTGGAGGAGGTCAGACAGGGACTGGGGTACCGGATGCGGGATTTGACCAGCCGGCGATGTCCAGAAGTAGATGTAGATCTCCAACCTTACGGAGCAGGGCCTTGAAGCCACAACCATGAGCTCTGTATTATTGCTGTCGAGTTTGAGTAGGTTAGATGACATCCAAATTTTGATTTTGTGCAGGCAGTTGACAAGTGACAGCATATGAATGGAAGCTGAGACCGTGGCAGCGGATGTTCTGACCAAGGGGGAGCATATAGATGGTGAAGAAGAGGGGTCCAAGCACAGAGCCTTGGGGTACACCGTGGTTGACTGGGGCAGGGGCTGAGCTAGAGCCTCCAATGGTGACAAACTGTTTTCGGTTGGTGAGGTAAGACTGAAACCAGCAGAGTGCTGAACCAGTGAGGCCAAGGTAGTCAGAGAGGCGGGTTCCAGGATTTTACTGAGGAAAGGAAGGTTGGAGATCATTGGGGTCAAGACTTGGCTTCTTGAGGATGGGAGTGACTGAGGCAACTTTGAACCTGGAGGGTACCAAACCAGATTCCAAGGAGGAGCTGATGTTGTCCACAATAAGGGGTCACAGAGCATGCCTTGACCAACGCGGTGGGCATGGGGTCCAGAGAACAGGTGGAGCCTTTGGCCTTAGAGACCAACGTGGCAACCTGAGGAGCATCCACAAGGGAGAAAGAGGAGAGGGAGCACTTGGGCAGATGAACAGTGGGGGGAGCAAGGAAGGGGACAGGTGCCAGAAGCTGCAGATGGATGAAATCAACTTTTTCCAGGGAGAGGGTTAGGGTTAGGCTACATTTTTAGAAAACAATTAAATTCTGAATATTATTCTGAGAATCATCTTAAAAACCTCAAAGCGGAGGGTTTTTCAAATCAAAGATTATTTAGATTCATTAAAACCTTAATTTCAAGTCATTGCCAAAGGTGAGACTTGGTTAATAAATGAAAAGGGTAACGATTTTGTATTTTTTGTATTTTAGTGTATATCAGACAAATAACAGGGGTGGTAGCATAGCATTTCATGTACTAAAAGATTTTCTATGTAGAGTAACTGGTAGAACAACTGTTGATGATATTATGGACAGTTGGACAATTGAGATTTTTGTATTTTTGTATTTTCCTGCGTTGCATATATAGAAGGCCTAGTTCTGGCATAGAACAATTCATGAGTTCCATAGCTGATATTTTTGGGAAAGTATGTGATAAGAAATTACTCTTTATTCTTGAAAGATTTTTTGAGACTAATTTCCTCTGGGTTGTGATTGATCATAAACTAACATGGAAACAATATATTAAAGAAAAAAAAATCTAAATCAATAGCAATTCTGTATAAATCTGGGGATATATTAAATTTTAAGGCCTTGTATTTCCCTAATTTATTTTGGAAGTGTGGGGTTCAACCTTTTAAACAAGTATAAATTCAATAGTATTACTACAAAACGAGCCATATGTATTATCAACAAGGCTGGTTACTGTGATCACACAAATCCATTATTTCTTAATTCTTAGGCTATGAGATTTAATGACGTAGTATTTTATGAAACAATGCAATTTTTTTTTTTTTTTTTTAATAATGTGCAAATGTGATCTGAGATATGTTTATGGTACAAATAGTTAAAAAAAGGGATTTAAAGGAGATGTATTTCTATAGTTGGGGTCAAATTATGGAACAATGTTAATTTAAATTTCAAAATGTGTAATTTGCTTTTGGTTTTCAAAATGATTTGTTAAGCTATTTTTGAGGGTCAAAAATGGGAATGATTTCCTTTTCTTAATTTATTGAACACAAATATGAATCAAGAAAAATAGTAATATCCCTTTGGTTCTTAAAGAGTAATTTATAGATATTTTTTATGGTTACAAATTACATTCTCAATTGTTTATGTCTATATTTACTGTTGTGTGATGACTGAATAAAAAAACTACTACTTTTAAAACTACTACTAATAGGCACTGAACAAGCAAACCAGGCCCTAGAAGCCACACTCCACTTTGTGACAGCCACTAACTCCCCCTGGAGTGACCATCTCAGCAGGATTGAGTATGCCCACAACTCCCTGACCAGCGCTGCTACTGGTATCTTACTTTCTGACTGTTCTCAGAGTGAAATCACATTGTCCTCGGTTCAAGTCCATGTGCATTGTTGCTGCAGGGTATGTTTTGCTCTCTTCCAAAAACATCCCATGAAAGACCGCCTCGTCTCGTCGTCTCCCGCTTATCTGGATCCGGGTCGCGGGGGCAGCAGCTTCAGCAAAGAGGTCCAGACGGCCCTCTCCCCAGCCACTTCCACCAGCTCCTCCAGGAGAATCCCGAGGCGTTCCAAGACCAGCCGAGAGATATAATCCCTCCAGCGTGTCCTTGGTCGGCCCCGCGGCCTTCTCCCGGTGGGACGAAACACCTCCCCGGGGAGGCGTCCCGGAGGCATCCTCACCAGATGCCCGAACCACCTCAACTGGCTCCTCTCGACATGGAAGAGCAGCGGTTCTACTCCGAGCTCCTCCCGGATGACCGAGCTCCTCGCCCTATCTCTAAGGCTGAGCCCGGCCACCCTGCAGAGGAAACTCATTTTGGCCGCTTATATTTGCGATCTCGTTCTTTCGGTCATTACCCAAAGCTCATGACCATAGGTGAGGATTGGAACGTAGATCGACCGGTAAATCGAGAGCTTCGCCTTCCGGCTTAGCTCCCTCTTCCCCACAACGGCCCGGTTCAGCGCCCGCATCACTGCTGACGCCGCCCCAATCCGCCTGTCGATCTCCGGTTCCACCCTACCCTCACTCGTGAACAAGATCCCGAGATACTTAAACTCCTCCACCTGAGGCAGAGCGGGCAATCCACCCGTTTCCGGCTGAGAACCATGGCCTCAGACTTGGAGGTGCTGATCTTCATCCCAGCCGCTTCACACTCGGCCGCGAAGGCGAAGCTAAGAGGACCACATCATCCGCAAAAAGCAGAGACGAGATCCTCCCGCCAACCGAACCCAAACCTCTCCACCACCCGGCTGCGCCTAGAAATTCTGTCCATAAAAGTTATGAACAGAACCGGTGACAAAAGGCAGCCCTGGCGGAGTCCAACCCCCACCGGGAACAGGTCTGACTTACTGCCGGCTACGCGAACCAGACTCACACTCCTTTGGTACAGGGACTTGATGGCCGCTAACAAGGGGCCATCCACCCCATACTCCCAGAGCACCCCCCACAGGGAGCCCCTGGGAACACGGTCGTAAGCTTTCTCCAAATCCACAAAACACATGTGGACTGGATTGGCAAACTCCCATGCTCAAGCCCAGGACGAAAACCACATTGCTCCTCCTCGATCTGAGGTTCAATTATCGACCGGACCCTCTTTTCCAGTACACTGGCATAGACCTTACCAGGGAGGCTGAGGAGTGTTATTCCCCAGTAGTTGGAACACACCCTCTGGTCACCCTTCTTAAAGATGGGGACCACCACCCCGGTTTGCCACTCCAGAAGCACTGCCCCCGATGTCCACGCAATGTTGCAGAGGCGTGTCAACCAAGACAGTCCTACAACATCCAGAGCCTTGAGATACCCAGGGCGGATCTCATCAACCCCCGGGGCTCCGCCACCGCGCAGTTGTTTCACTACCTCGGCGACTTCTGCCCCGGAGATTAGACCATCCATTCTCAGTTCTCTTGACTCTGTTTCCTCCACGGAATACATTTTGGTGGGATTGAGGAGCTCCTCAAAGTATTCCTTCCACCGTCCGACTATATCCTCAGTTGACGTGAGCAGCTCCCCGCCCCCACCATAAACAATGTGAGCGAGTTGCCACCTTCCCCCCCTGAGGCGCCGGATGGTTTGCCAGAACCTTTTTGGAGGCGATCGATAGTCTTCCGCCATTGTCTCACCGAACTCCTCCCACGCCCGAGTTTTTGCCTCAGTTTTTGCCCGCCGGTACCAGTCAGCTGATTCCGGAGACCCACAGGCCAACCACACCCTGTAGGCCTCCTTCAACCTGACAGCTTCCCCACCCCTGGTGTTCACCAGCGGGTACGGGGGTTACCGCCACGACTGGCCCCAGCTACCCTGCGGCCGCAGCTCGCAAAAGCCGCCTCAACAACAGCAGAGCGGAACAAGGCCCATTCGGACTCAATGTCCCCCACCGCCCTTGGGACGCGATCGAAACTCTGCCAGAGGTGTGCGTTGAAAATCATCTTAACGGGTTCTTCTGCCAGGCTTTCCCAGCAGACCCTCACAACCCGTTTGGGCCTGCCAGGTCTGCGCGGCGTCTTCCCCCGCCATCTGATCCAACTCATCACCAGGTGGTGGTCGGTTGACAACTCTGCTCCTCTCTTCACCTGAGTGTCCAAAACATGCAGCCGCAGGTCTGATGATACGACTACAAAGTCGATCATAGACCGGCGACCTAGGGTGTCCTGGTGCCATGTGCACCTATGGACGTCCTTATGCTTGAACATGGTGTTAGTTATGGCCAAGCTGTGACTAGCACAGAAGTCCAATAACTGAACGCCGCTCGGGTTCAGATCAGGCAGGCCGTTCCTCCCCACCACACCCTTCCAGGTCACGCTGTCATTGCCCATGTGAGCATTGAAGTCTCCCAATAGGACAATGGAGTCCCCTTTCGGGGCACTTTCCAGCACCCGTCCCAAGGACTCCAAAAAGGGCGGGTAGTCTGAACTGCTGTTTGGTAAATAGGCACTGACAACAGTCAGAACCCGATCCCCGACCCGGAGGCGCAGGGACACAACCCTTTCGTCCACTGGGATAAACTCCAACATACAGGCAGAGAGCCTGGGGGACACCAAAAAGCCCACCCTGGCCCTCCGCCTCTCACCCGGAGCAACTCCAGCAAAGAGGAGAGACCAGCCCCTCTCAAGGACTTGGGTTCCGGAGCCGACGCTATGTGTTGAGATGAGACCGACTATATCTAGCCGGTATCGCTCAACCTCTTCCACAAGCTCCTCCTCCTTCCCCGCCAGAGAGGTGACGTTCCATGTTCCAAAAACCAGTTTCCGTAACCGAGGATCGGACCGCCAAGACCCCCGCCTTGGTCTGCTGCCCAATCCACGCTGCACCGGATCCCGCTGACTCTTCTTGCAGGTGGTGAGCCCACTGGGAGACGAACCCATGTAGCTGGTTCGGACTGGGCCCAGCCGGGCCCCATGGGCCAAGGCCCGGCCACCAGGCGCTCGCCCACGGGCCCCAACCCCAGGCCTGGCTCCAGGGCGGGGCCCCGGTGTCCCTCCGGGCCAGGTACTCGGGTTCTTGATATTTTTCATCATTAGGATCTTCTGAACCATTCTTCGTCTGGCCCTTCACCTGGGAAAATCTGCCTTGGGAGACCCTACCAGGGGCAAAATGCCCCCGACAACACAGCTCCTAGGGTCATTAGGGCTCTCAAACTCCTTCACCACGGTAAGGTGACGGTTCAAGGAGGAGCCCATGAAAGACCATCTCAGAGAAACTGTCTCTCCACTACATTGGTCCATTTGAAATAGAAAGCATCATAAATTCCTCTACTGTTACATTAGAACTTCCCTGCTCCATGAGATTGTGAAAAACCAGGGTCTGTCAGTCCTTTGTGCCCTCAGTCCCACTCTGCTCTGCCTCGTCAGCCTCTGGCATCTCTCAGCCCTCAACTCTCACTAGCCACCTCATCCTCCTCCCTGACTATTTAATATAAACTTGTTTACATTTATATTCTGAGTCTGAGTTCTGCATTTGGGTAGAACTCACTCATCACAGTAAGGGATGTTCACCAATTAATATGTGAGAACACACTACAGAGCTGAAAGTTAGTATCACTGTCCCTGTTTCTAGTCCAGTGTGCTGCACTAAAAGACCATTAACATGGAGAACATTTCACAGCTTTCATACTGTGAATGCACGTGTACATAAGAACCTACATGTCTACTCCACATCTGTGTATTTATTGTGTTTGTCAGGCTCATCTGAAAGTGCTGCAGAATTCAGTGGATCCCTCAAAGGTGTTTTTCCGGCAGCAGATCCTCTGTGGCACTTTGGCAGGAAACTCATGTCCAGTGGTCACCATCACTGCCTGTCCGGCCAGCAGGGCCTGGAAGGACATGCACCAGCTACGTGAGTGATGCTCTGTGTGTGTCTGTGTGTGTGTGTCTGAGCAGACAAAAGGAGACAAACAGCAGCCATCTTAACAGAGACAGAAATCATGAGCTCTGTTAATTTTCAGTACTTTAGATTCAGAATCATAATCTGGTTTATTACCAAGTAGGTTAACAACATACAAGGAATTTGGTGTTTTGTTGCATAAAAATACACATAGTAGGAAGAAAAGAGAGGATAATCCGCCTAGCTATAATTTGGACAGGTGAGAAATATTGTCATTGTTTTTTTTGAAAGCCCCTTCAGTTTCTCTGATATCCATCCTCTGGTCTGTTAAAGGAACTATAGGTAAGTTTTTGCTTTTACTACATAGCTTAGCATGAGCATTAGCAGCTGTTTACTTACCAGGTTAGAGGGAGAAGGATAGCTGCATGCAGGTTCTAGAACTGAGATGTACGACAGGTATGTGTGAACATACAATTACTCAAGTAATTGTATGACTAACCACAACCTAAGCAAACATTACAACAACAGAACATTAACCAACAGGTACATGTACATTAACAATGGTCAAGAGTTCTGCTGTTTAGCTGTGCTGTGCTAGGTGAGGTTAGGCCGAGTTAATGTTACCCAGTCCTTTGAACAAAAGAGGAAGGTCCCTTTCAGTGTTGCTGTAAACTCCAGTGAGTTGGGTTTGCTCTGGTCGAGTGAAGTCCTGTCTGGCTGTGTGGTCTCTGTGTTAGAGATGAGGTTAGCTGGTTTCCTCTTTGTTCTTCTTACAGAGTTAGCTGTTCCAAGCAACAGGAGCCACAGCAGAGTTATGCTGGCAGACTGTGTTCTAGCTGCTAGGGTTAGGTTGGGGTTAAAACAGGGTTAGGGTTAGGGTTAACTTGTTCACTCTGTGTTGAAAAGCAGAGTGAGGAAGAGTGTTGCAGTCTGCTGTGAGCAGGCCTGCAGGAAAGCTGTTTTTCCAGGTAGCCTTGTGCTGACCTGGTGCTGGGAGCCCAGTTGCTCCTTGAAGAAGGGGGAGAAGGGGAGGGATAAGGAGCTGCTGCTCCTTAGCAAGCCAAGGAGAGAAGAGGAAGAACAAAAAAGGAGATCTGTCTTTTTCTGGTGACACCCTGGGTGTCACATATCACACACTGACCAACACTGACTGGATCAGTGAGTACCCTGGGGGAGGGTTGTCCCCATGTGTGAACAGGGAGGAACTGTGGGGGAGTGAGTTCTATCGGCTGTAGAACAAAGAGCATGTGGTCTCCACCACCAACAAAACTGAACAGTCAGTTTTCTGTTAGACGTGTGACAGATCAGATTAGGTTTAGCCATGAATACTGCCAACCAACTGACAGTACATATAATATACTGTCATGTAATGTCATCTAACAGAAAATAACTTAAACAACTGACATGCAAACTTGATTTCACTGAACCTCCTCTTTCAAGTATACATTAAAGTTAGTTGGATTGCATTTGAAAACTTGTCTGGTAGCTTTTGGAAACAGATGGACTTAATGAGTGATAAAGTGATGGAGAGAATTGCTTCCAGTGGCACTGCCCTGTAGCGACTCAGGCTCATGCTACTGTAGCTTGTGTTTTTAAGTGTTTATGTTTTAAGTGTTTATGTTTGTCAGCAATAAAGTGCTTTATGCTTGTACTATTTGCCAACAAGTGGCAAGCTTGGCCATATTAAGGACTCCAGTGTCAGTCTGACAGTACAACAACTTTGGGCAGCTGTGGGTAGCCTGGAACAATGGTCTCAAGCCTAAAAACTTTACTGCTGATTCTGTTCATCAGTGAACGCTTAATTCCTTGTCCTTCAACAACTTTGCAGTAGGGATATGGATTATGACGGGTATAATTCAGAGACACACTGCTGTCCTTCTGACCCCTTCAACCTACATCATCGGATCATAAACCAGCTGTCATCTGAGCAACACACACGGCCACTGCGAAAACAAGAGAGACATGGAGGTGTCCAGGAGCGTCTTCACCCCGCAGCTTTTCGCTTTTATTTTGAAATCAAGTCTTTCAAGCTTTTACCGTAATCGGTGGTATATACACGTACCACAAAACACAGAGCTTGACCGTGTTTTCGAAGTGGAGGCTGGCCTTACTGCAGTAGACATCACTACCTACCAAGGGAGCTCAGCAATATCATCATTGGTGCTGTTTATATCCCCCCAGTGGTAACGCAGGGAGAGCTGCTGCACACATAGCAGAATGCGCACATGAACAGCTGCAGCTGGGGCACCTACTTTCTTTTTAGGCAACTTCAACCATTGTAAGCCAGAGCTGGGTTGCCAGGTTTTGAACAATATGTGCAATGCGACACCCGAAAAAACAGAATCTTAAGGGTGCATATTCTGCAAAGTCAAAGCCCCTTCTCTCAAACTCAGTCCACAATACTGTATTCCCTCATATAAATCGGTTTTCAAGTCAAGCAAGCTCCAGTGTGTCTGAACCTGGACTGCGATGGTCCTTTTTTTCGATCAATTTTTTATTGTATATCAGTATATCACACAAGTGTAAACATTATACATTTTACATGTTTTCTTCTCTTTTCCACTCCCCCCATAATGTCACATATGTACAATCTTAAACTTTGCGAGATCTACTATGGAAAAGGTTACAAATGTGTCATCATAAACAATTACCAGTTGTAATAACCGAATAACAAGTGTATCAGTTTGTGATATTGATTCTTAAACGTATTGAACAGATTTGTCTACACTGTGTCCCAACAGATTACTTCATCATTTGCCCTAGTTAGGTCTCTATGCCATATGGCTTCTACTGGTAATGTCTTGTTGGATTTGGAAATAAGTTTATATAGTTTAGAGACAATCCCTCGCGTGGGTCCAGGTGGGGCTAACACATTGTGAAGAGGGTGCGTAAGAGGTGCAGACCCTCATGGGACACCGTAGGCCTTCATGGCTGACCTCAACTGCAGATAGAAAAAGTGTGATGAACCAGGTAAGCCATATTGGGTTTTTAGATCATTAAAAGCTCGCAGGCCACTGTTATCGTATAGGTCTTTCAAAACGTTGACTCCCTTACTCTTCCAACTTGGAGATGAGAAAGATAAATTGCCGGTCAAGAGTAGAAAGTTGTTAAAAATCGGTGAGTGGTTATGCCATTTGAGATCTGCACGCATATATTTCATGACTGTATGGAAAGTTGTGAGAAGGTATATAATTAGAGGGCCTAGACACAATTTGGCCTTTTTCAATGGTATATTAGAATAGACCAGATCTTGCAATCTATGAGACAGTGAGAGATTTTCCTCTATTGGTCTCCAAGAGACAGAGGCATTAGAGTCAAACCAAATTGACAGGGAACGTAGCACATAGGACCAAAAGTACACCTTAAAATTTGATAGGGCTAGCCCTCTTTGTGGTTTATCACGCTGCAAAGTTGCAAGTTTCAAACGTGGTCTTTTCCCTTTCTATATGAATTTGGAGATTAATGAATTAAGTTTCTCCCAGTATCCTACGGGGGGGGGGGCAAGGGGAATCATTTATGAGTAAAAATTCACACGGGGAAGTACATCCATTTTAACTATTGATATACGGACTTGAAAAGAGAGTAACAGTTTTGACCAATGTTCAAAGTCTGTCTCTATCCGATTATATATACCTTTAAAATTTCTTATAGCAATTGAAGGCGTAGAGGGAAAAATATCAACACCAAGATATTTGAAAGTCTTAACGACCGGTATGTGTGAAGGCAGGGGAACTTGGGATAAAACTGAGTTTAAGTGCATTAATGATGATTTCGTCCAGTTAATTTTATATCCAGATATTGAGCTAAATGAATCAAAAGTAGTCAGCAGGTGTGGTATTGACGAGCCAGAGTTACCTATATAAAGAAGGATATCGTCAGCATATAACGAAATTCGATGGTCTGTATTACAAAACGTGATAGGATGGACCAGGGGATGTTGTCTGACTTTTTGAGCTAGAGGTTCAAGGGAGAGTGCAAATAGGAGTGGTTAGAGAGGACAACCTTGGCGGGTACCTCTACATATTGGTAATTGGGCGGAGCAGATATTGCCCGTGCAGACCATTGCTGAGGGACTTGCATATAAAACTTTGATCATGTTAATAAATTGTTTACCCAAATTAAATTTATCCAAGGTAGTCCAAAGATATGCCCATTCCAGCCGATCAAAGGCTTTTTCAGCATCCAGTGATAGAACCAAGCACGGAGAATCAGTACTGCTAGCTGAATGGATAATGTGCAATAGGCAACAGGGAAGTGTTGGGACTTAATAAAGCCAGTCTGATCATTATGAATTAATTTTGTGAGATTTACTTCTAGTCGGATTGCGAGCACTTTGGCATATAATTTAACATCACTATTCAAAAGAGAAAGGGGTCTATAATTACCGCATTGAGACAGGTCTTTATTTGATTTTGGAAGTACAGAGATTATGGCCGTGTTGACGCATACATTGAATGCACCCTTATCAATTGCTGCATTAATCATTTCTAGCAGCGGTTTTCCCAATACATCCCAGAAGGCGAGGTATAACTCTGGCGGAATTCCATCCCATCCTGGTGACTTACCCTTCTTCATACTAACAAGAGCCATCCTTAACTCTTCTAAGGATATAGGGGCATTGAGCAACTCGGCTTCATCGTTTGATAGGGAGGGCAGATCTAACTCCTGAAAGAAACGGGTACATTTACCAGGGTCAAGTGAGATTTCAGACGCATACAGAGTGGAATAAAAAGTCTTGAATTCAGTATTAATGTCGCGGGGGTTGCTCAAAGTACCAGTAGGAGTTTTTATGGCAACAATATTTGAGTATTTCTCATTATTTTTCAATCTCAAAGATAGAAGGTGGCTAGGCCTGGCCCCATTAAAGTAGTATGTCCTTCTTGTCCTATGCATCAAAAACTCTGCCCTGCGTCTTAACAGAGAATTCAACTCAGTTCTCGTTATGGTTACTCTTCGTTGAAGCGCCTCAGAGTATGAGGCCTGTTGTTGGGCCTCTAGTTGGGTGAGAGTAG